CAGGCCTCTGGCAGAGAACCCGAGATTGAGGAAGACACATACCACCAAAAGGGGGTGAGAATGGAGGGAGGGAGGGAGGGAGGAGGGGGAGGGGGGAGAGAGAGAGGTCGCAATGTGTCAGCTACTGAGAAATGGCACAATGTCCAATGGCTAGCTAAAACAGTATAATAGAAATAAGACGATATGTGACTGATGAAAAGAAGTGGAGGAACATGTAGCAAATGCATTTTTAGAAAAAGCAATATTGTACTCTGCTGTTTTACATGGGAAAATAGCTTGTACATACGATAAAGGAATGCTGTTGTAGAAAGACTGCATAGGAAGCTACAGTACATGGCTAAAATCAGGACCTTACAGACAGACATATCATTCAGGAGGCAAATCTACTTCATCTAGGTAACAATACTTAATTCACAGAATGACTTACTTTTGCTGGGAATTATGGGAGGCATTTATCCTTAAGCAGATTTACAATAACCCATGTCTGGAAACAAAAGGAATTATAACTTAGCTAAATAAATGTGTAGGATCTATGATAATGGTGGTGGTAACAGCACAAAGGAGAACTTGAAGCTACAATGAAAATGGAGTAATTTAAAATAGGAAAATACTGCCCATAACCTTTATTGCAGATGATGCTTACTTTGAAAACAACCCTTTTATTTTAATGAATTTCAAATGCCACACTAATACAAATAATTTACTAGGCCGGATCTATAAAATCACAAACTGATAAATGATGCTTGCACTGCACTTTCCCTTCTATTTTACGCGTTGAAGAAATATAAGTGACAATTTAAGGGAGCTTTAGTCTGATCTGAATTAATCTGATAAATCCTAATAGTTCCAGGAAGGAAGGAAGGAAGGAAGGAAGGAAGGAAGGAAGGAAGGAAGGAAGGAAGGATGGAAGGAAGGAAGGAAGGAAGGAAGGAAGGATGGAAGGAAGGAAGGAAGGAAGGAAGGAAGGATGGAAGGAAGGAAGGAAGGAAGGAAGGAAGGATGGAAGGAAGGAAGGAAGGAAGGAAGGAAGGATGGAAGGAAGGAAGGAAGGAAGGAAGGAAGGATGGAAGGAAGGAAGGAAGGAAGGAAGGAAGGATGGAAGGAAGGAAGGAAGGAAGGAAGGAAGGATGGAAGGAAGGAAGGAAGGAAGGAAGGAAGGATGGAAGGAAGGAAGGAAGGAAGGAAGGAAGGAAGGAAGGAAAAGAGAGAGAGAGAGAGAGAACAAGCTGTAGAAATGACCATTAACTACAACCAAACAGTCCAAAATCACAGCCAATCACAAAAACAGCTCCCCCAAAATTGCAGTTTGTTCTACCTGCAAAAAGGAAGCATGTCACCAAACTTCTTCTCCTTTCTTTTGACCCTCAGAAACCAGATACAACAGAGCAAGCCTTTCACAGGAATTGAAAGCTTTACACTAAAGGCACAGCATTAAGTTGTTCGCTATCAATGCTATCTGCTCCAAGCATTTGCAGGCACATTCCAAAGATGTTTCCATTGCTCTGGGATAGCTGTAAGTTTCCTTTCCTGTGCAATTCCTTTCAGAAAAGAGGGATGAATTACACTGGATAACACATGCAGTCCATAGTTCTTGACCAAGCCAGTCTCATGTCTCATTTCCACAAATGTCTTGCTGCCGATCTGGATAGAATTGATGGCATATCTGAGTAGGCTGGAGAATCAAAACTTGAAAAAAATGAACAGATGCACGAAGGCAGTGGAATGCCAGCTCTAAGGATATATTAATACTAAGTATGTGTACTTTTCAAGGCAAGGTTCTATTTAATTACTTGGACTGTTTATATTTTTCTATGCTTAATTAAGCAAAGTAGATGAACCCACCTACCCCATTCCGTTTCAAAATCCCACATTGTTTCTCTATACTGCTAAGAAAGTTACGGTCAAGATAAATTAGGAAGGAAAAATCAGAAACAACATGGCTCTTCTTGCTTAAAAATATATAAAATTTGAATATAAAAAGGGATAATTTCTCTCAAAGTAAGCAGCTATCCCTTTTGGGCTGAAAGAAGTAATCAAAACACAAACAATAACTGTTCTAGAAAACTAGTAAGGAAGGGAGAGAGAAGGAAGGAAAATAAAACATTCCGAGAAAATAGCAAAACTGAATTGCAGTATTTTTTTTTTAATCTTGCCAAGCAGCTTAACATTTGGTTACTGATAGCAATTTTAGATGAAGGTACTCTCTCTGGAGGTTTAAAAGTATGCAAATGCAAACTATATAGCGACACAAATGCACACATGCTATACCTTTGTATTACATTGGCATTTTATTATTTAATTAAAATACTCTTATTTTTCTAGCTCACACATGCTTCCCTTGAGACGATTTTTCTGTTAGCCTGCTGGCCTTGACTTCCAGCCAAAAACAATTCAGAAACAAAAAGAGACAACAAATCATATTTTCACAGACATTTTTATCTCTCAATACAACCCTGTTTTCACACAACATCATACAGACTCTATGAAAATTATAATTTATTGCTATAGCCATCCAAAGGCAGTATGGCTTACAAATACTCCATTGGTGCCTCCCACAAACTCTGACAATTTCTTAAGTTGAACTATTATCCTGGAATTGTCATTATGGAACAATAGTGTAATCTTTTGAATGAGATTGATAAATAGTTTACTAAGAGTATACTAGAAAATCAACCTAGTTACCAACAGAAAGCCACAAAGTAGGGGAAAAACAATTTAATGTTTCAAACACTATTGAATTTTTCTTAAAGATTCTTTGAAAATACATGATGTATCTCAGAAAGATGGATAGTACGTAAACACGGGATCACATATTATCTCATACCATCTATTAACTCTTACCTGATGGCAACCTTGAAGGTTTGAGTCTCGCCCGTATGATGAATAAGAGCCCCTTTCTGTTTTACCTATTTCAGAGAGAGAGAGAGAGAGAGAGAGAGAGAGTGTTATCTGATTATATAGTTAAAGAATATATTATGTAATTAATTAATCTGCATAGAATAGTGATATTTATTGCATTATAGTGGATGTCCATAATCCATTTTATCAAAACCCCTTATCTTCAAAGCCATTTTCTATAGTAAGGAAACATCACATCACCACCGTGTTTGGTCTTGGACCGTAAATAAATTTTGAATCCACATCACCACAGAAGAATGGCACATGTTCCTCATCTCAGTATCATAATTTTCTAACCACAGAAGAAAATCAGATTTCCTCAAATGGGAGCTTTCTCCCTCTTTTGAAACTCTGGAACTTTATGGTTCTATTCATCACACACAATGGGTGAAATCCTCCAAATAGTGTAGCCTGAAACCAATGATTGGGTCAGGGAGAGAAGCTTCATGGCTGCTTATACCTCAAAACAAAAACAAGGGGCAACCCCATTATAAAGCTGCATCTTTTTGCTCAACCTGTCCCCCTTTGTGAATACCCAATGTCATACTGTTCTTGACAATTGTTCTTCCATAGACCTGTGCAATAGAGCTCCTAATGCTCTCTGGTTTAAAGCATCTTCATTGTCCGGGATTATTACATTTCTAATTTGAAATGCCATTCAAACTTCCAGAAAATCTATGTGGGACAATTATTTTTAAGGGAGAAAACAGAATCTCTCTTTTCCTTTTCTTTCCTATCCCTAAAAACTGTGTAAATGTATTTTTATGAGCACAGCAGGAAGGTTATCCATGTCGTGACCTGACCATAATAATTCTCATTGATTACACTGCAGTCACCAGTGGGGTCAGAGGTAATCAATCAGAAGCTCCAGATGGTAAATCTAGCAAAAAAACCTTTCACAAGTCTGATTTTTCACTCTCTTTCCTAGTTGAATTCCCCACTGAATGACCTGATCACTGCAGTTACACTCCAGAAAGCGTATTTTATATTAAAATATATCACTCCCTAATAATGTTTCAACTTTCTCAGAATTGCAGGAGACACAAATAGGCTGTGATATTTCATGCCAATTCTTGTATCTTATTTGATTTTCTTGCATGCTCCTAAATTTTTCTTTAAAATGTCAACATGATATCGTTGGATACGGAAGTTGTAACTCTGATGAAAAGAACAGAGGACTGGATTTCATATATTAAGATGGTCGTTAGTAAACCAAAGAAGGAATTTGGGGAAAAACATGAAAAGTTAGAAGCCTTGTTCCATAAGGTCAGCAAAGATCTACGGTAGGTCCTGACATGAAAATTAATAAAATTCTGGCATGAAATTTAATAAAATCATTCCAACTGCGGTGAGGAAGTGAAATATTAAGCTGGAATAATTTTCAATTATTAGGAGCACCTAAGATGAGCAGAGATAAGATTCAATAGCCTAGCACAGAGAGAAGAAATAATTATTGGCTATCTACCACAATGTACCCCTCCCCATATATTTTGGTGGACAACCATAATGACCCTTGGGTGCAGAGATCTAATATAATGCAAAGTTCAGGTTGTTTTTGCAATCAAGCATATAATAAATTGCAATAACTGGCTATATATAGTACAGTACATTACCCCTGTAAATGAATCATTTAATTACTATCACATACTTTGCAAAACCACCTTTACTTTAAAGGATGTTATTTTATTACAGAATATTATACTCAGTCTGGTTATCTTTGAAATACAAGCTGTAAGGAAAAAAAAAAGATTCACATTTTTAATTTAATATAGAATAGTTAAATAAACTGCACTGTTGTTTCCTTAAAAAGTGTTGAACTAAAATTTTTTTAAATTATTTGATTAAATGCACATAAGGCTTTATTTAATGTTTTGTCCCCTAAAGTCTGGATTCAGTTAAAATAATGACTATGATGTGAATTCATACCATAATATTGTGTATATTCTACATGATTTCAAAGTGCCATCTACGGATCTATTAACAATATTATATGAAATTCTACTTCCTTTCAGTTTTACTTTCTTCTTTAAAAATATGGCACTTGTGCTGGCAGTAAATCTTTTATATTCAGCCCCATGGAAATATATGTCAATAACATTAATATACAATTATAACTCTACTTTTATTTGACTTGTCATTTTGGATTTAGCTTTCAGACAGAAAAAAAAAATGGATATTTCCACCTGCTCTTAAAATTGTCTGTCATAACAGAACACAAAACAAAATACTACAAGTTGAATTTATCTACATGCCCAGGGATATAAAATGCTACACATATTTTTTGTGAGTTCATAAAAAGAATTTTTTTCTAAGAGTAATGAAAAATACAGATAGGAAAGTAGAAACACTGAATTCACTTGAGCTTTAGTACACTGTGAGTTAATGTAGGGGGAAAAAAGAGGTCCATGAACAATTCAGATCTTACATTTTTGACCAGCGATGAGACATGAAACAGGAAAAATGTCCTGAACAGGAAAGGAACAATACAGGTTTTACTTCATATCACACCTACAAGGTGAGGTTCCTCAAACTCTACCAGGCAAAAATGCATTTTAATGAGGAGTTGGGTGAATAAAACTAACAAATCCAACCTACTGAATAAAGAACCGGGCAAATGAATTTCATTTACTGTGTGAATACCTGTCCTCCTCCCTCCTCCTCCTTACTATCGTATCAGATACAAACTGTCTCATTTTAATTTCGGTTGTTAAAAAATATTTATCTAGATGCAAAAATAAAACGCACTGCAAATTACAAGTTGTCAGGGTTAAAAATCTACTTCTATTTGTGTGGGGGAGGATGAGAGAACAGCACAGACATGAATCATTCTCAGTAATTTGAGTGTTTCCATGACATCAATGGGCACTCGTCCAGGACTCCGTCGAAGCCTGTGAGGTACCAAAGAGACACAGCAACCAGCAGGAGATTGACTTCATTTTTTTAAGGATTATGCTCCTTGTAAAGATTTCATCTGTAGCATCCATTTTTACTACCAGACAGATAGCTTTGGAGATCAGGAATGAACATATTTCATCCTGAGAGTGTAAGCCTTTAACTTTTATTACATCTTTATTTTTGTTCCCAAATCCAACCAGAAACGTGTCTTTCCTTCCAGTTAAGAACAGAATAACCAAATTTACGTGAAACTCTTCAGGGACATGCATGTATGTGTGGATGGGTGTGTGCACGTGTTCGTACGTATGCGCTATCAATTGTCATTATGAAACAAACTGACTTTTTTTTGTAGATGTCATTTCATTCATGGAGGGGGAAAAAATCTCTGGAGGGGAAAAAAATCCATTTAAAATCAGCTACACTCTATGTTGATTTCCTGCTTGAAATTCATTGGCACATTTGCTTCAGATAATAAAATTTGAAAGAGGGTTAATAATATTCTGGTGGGGGCTCTTTAAGTAACTATCTGTGTGCATGAATTTAACAAAAAACAAAATTAGCTCACTTGGAATTTTTATACTTACTTTGCAATGTCCATCGTTCTCAGGTATTACAGGAAGACAGCAAACGTGAATGCGTGGACTGGGGTGGTATAAATTATTGTTCATTTTTAAAGGGACTGTGCGTGAAGGTTCGGTTTTTAAAGAATCTACAACAATGTAGAAACTCAACACATTCACTGCGGAATTTTCGAGACAACCCTCTTGTACCAGAATGCGGCAGCCGCTGCGGATATTTTTTGGCACAAAGTCAACAGTGCCAGTGCCAAGCCCCATGGCTACGACTACTCAAAAGAGGCATAAGGGTAGCATTAATCGCTCAAGTCTTTTACTGCATGGAGTATTGCTGTCCATATTTTTTAAAAAAACCAAACCCTAAATGTACCAGTTAATAATTTGCATATAAACCAGGAAAAGGGTACTGAAATCTTGTTGTGTATCTGGTTAGTTTCTCCATCGCTAAGACCAATATTGCACTGATTGCTAATACAAAAGATCTATCTTTATTTAACTATGTTGCAAGAGTCAAAATAAAACTTAAAGAGAAGATGACCCACAACAATGGCTTACTATTAGACAAAGTGGCATCCCTGAGAGTAATTCAAAGGAAATACATTATTAATTATACTAATACCTTTTTAAATAAATAAACAGACAGAATACACGTCAGCCAAAATACATACAAAGAAAAACAGAATAAATTGCCAAGGCTTTTCTCCAAGGCATACTACACATGCAGACACTCAATAAACACCCAAGAAATAAAAAAAAGAATCTCCTCTAAACTCAGTTGCTTACTATGCATTTCCAAGCATCTCAGATTAACTGTAATCAAAATCAGAAAAAGAAATAAAGGGGGGGGGGACCACAAAAGCACTGTGGGATTTCCAATCAGTCTATGAAGAAGCCGGTTGCTCCTCTGTAATGTCCTCTGAAAAATTAACTGAATTAAGCTGAAAATTCAAGTCCTCTAACTCTGACATAACTTTTTTTCCCTTTTGTTCTGACAGAAATGTCAGCTTGTCTTTGCTCTACCAGTGGACATTTGGCTTCCAAGTTCGTGATACTCTCGTATTTTAACTTTTCTGAGAGTTGGATTCAAGAGGCACAGTGACAAATATCTTCAAACATAGTTTGACTTCAGATGGTTGAGAAACACTTTATATTCACATTCCTAGTTTCATAGTCCTGGGACTGCTTCTCTCCGGACTGAATTGCCTATTTCACTGCAAGGGATTATTCATTCTGTAATTTTAAATTACCAGACACTGGAAAAAAGAAAAGAAATTCGTGGGGAAGAGATAGAAAGTGTCACATTTCTCTTCAATATCAATATCTTCACAGACTGGAATGCCTATCGTAGTGTACATGGGAGACTTATGCTTGGAAAATGAGACAATCTTGTCTTCATATGCTACTTATCAGGCAATCCCAATTACAAGTTTCAGATAACAAGGGTCTATACAGATACAGCTGTCTATAGGATGGCTGGAATGTCTTTAGCAAGCAGTTTAGATTTATTATTTCCACTTCTATTCCTATCTGACTTCCTC